ACACAAAAATTCCATTATTGTCCTTCCCACTTGCTCATTATTTGCTATGTTTACAGAAAAGTGTCATCTTAACACCACCTTGTCCCTCCATCTTCACACACTAGTGACCTATTTATACTCTTCACTAAAACATTTAAACTTATGTCACACATTCGCATTTTTTTTCCAATTAATGAGTCACATAACGTGAAGTTGAGAGAAAGAGAATTACCATTAAAGGATTTGACGAAAAAATACGGGCGAGGAGTTATGCCACAACGTTTGAACATAAAATTGGTTTAAGCGATGGTATCTAAAGGAGAACTTGACGTAGCAAAAGGCTACGCCATCTTGTTTTTCATCTCTATTTTCCCATAGTTGAATACCCTCATATTGGCTATACTACTCTTGCAACTACTCAGCCTGTTTCTCACCTATTTCTCCGCCATCTGCCTGCTCGCCTTCACCATATGCACAAAAAATTTCAACTTTTATAACCAAGTAGCTTTGTACACTTTTCTATCACTACAATTCCTGTACAGGATTGTTTTTTTTGTCTTTTCAATCTATTCTGATCAGGTCTCATTGTCTTATTTACTTTATTACTTAAAGCTTGCAATCACAAGTTCTTTCAACTTGTATCCAACTTTTCTCATTTCCAGGTCACACGTCTTGCTTTTACTCATATCCCTTTACCGGAGGCTGTTCGTTTGCTGTCAGAGTCCTTGCTCGGTTCTGTGGCACCTGCTTTTTTAATGCAGCGTTATTTATCTATGGATATGATCTCCTCCAGCGGTAGTCAATTATCATGCAAACCGGCTACATTTCATCTCGAACCGGAGCTGCAGACCGCTTTATTAGCTACTGTTGCTGGCTGGCTTCTGCCTTTTCTTCCTATGTCCGGACAGACTAATAATATTAGCCTCTTGTCTACTGCTCCTGATGATTCGTGTAAACAGCATTCATATTCTCAGAATACAGTCCTCAAGGCGGCTTGTGGCGACAGGAAATTGAATCTCATAGAGTCTGCTGGCTTGGCCACATTCACTGCACTAGCCTATCACACCGGACTATTTGCATGTGTAGCAAATGCCTTGTTGGACGAGATGGGCCGTCATTTGCTAAAGTCTGGCATAATTTTTTCCCACCATTGGTCATCTTCCATAGCGAACTCAGTTACGGATATGACAAAAGCCCATTCAACGGACGACGATAAGGAATTAAATTCTTATTTTCCACCTGTCTGTGGGCCAGCTTACCTATCATCTCTGCAAATTGACCCTAAGCGCCGCGACGAAATGTTAGCTCCTCTCCGTTGCCTCATCCCCAGTGTTTCTCGAGTCCTTCGATTTATAATTCAGGTGGGTAATACCTCTTCATATTTATTTGGCTCAATTTAATTTGCCTTGTGTGTATGTATGCACAAGGGAAATTTTGTGATTTTACAATGCATTTTTTGATGTTTCATAGATTTCATTTTTAATCTTTCCAATTAATGTATTGCTTAGTGTTTATACATCATTTTATTCATTTGATATGCCAATTTTTTGGACCGAACTCTTTAGTCTAAAGACTATGAATACCAAGCTGGTGTGTCCTTAAGTTTCATAGGGATTTACTCTAGATGTATTTATCTGATCTGGCCTAAATTTCGCAACTTATTTGCACTAATATAGGGGATAAGATGCCGCAAAGGTTGAGCAGAAGATTTGTCAAAAGGCTTACCTTCACTTGTTCCTTTTTTCGGTGCTGAAGGTGGTGTTTTTCACTAATTTTGCCGACTATAATGCCGGTAGGTCGGCCAGGATTATAGCAAACTTTATGTTTGATATTGGGATTTATTGTAACTACACTGGCCTGGGATTCATGACCTGGAAAATTCTTCTAGGTCTTTGTCATCTTGTGTTCATGTGCTGAAACACTAATTTAATTGTACTATAATTAAATTCATCATCGCCTTGGATAAGCCTTCGCTAACCGGAAATGCGGATAGAATGATCTTTAACTTAGAACTCACCTCATTGCACTTTTATCATATCTTATTTCGTCTTTTCAGCAACATCAAGAGACTGGTGAATCCTACGCTCACTTGACTGCTCCCATTATCTATCACGCTTGTCTCCTGTGCTTCGAACTAGAGCCGATCGTTTTGCCACCTTCTCTTCCATTATGTCATCAGCTTTTTGACTCTTTTGGTCCATACCAACCCACAGATGGTCATTTCGATACCAAACATTGCCCCATTGAAAACGCAATAGGTAATAAGCCATGTGTGGACTTAACTCTAAACAAGTTTCCAATTTCAATCTGCGAAGAGGGAGAGAAGGATAAAGATGAGTCTGATCTGGATTCTGGATCAGCTGGAGGTCTTCATGTTCTCGAATGCGGTGCTGATTCGATAGAAATTAAGATGGGGGGTGGAGGCCTATCAGCTGATGCATTAAATGATCATTATGACAATGAGGCACAAAAGAATGGCACCAGCATCACTATTTCTCCTCACCAGGTCGAAAGTGCTATCTGTCTTAGCGCGATTGGTCTGGCTGATAGGGGAGAACACATCGTGCGATCAGAACACTCATGCCAGCCAAATTTCGACCTGACTTGTGGGGCCGTCGATCCTTCTTGTGATTCAGTTGGCCAGTCGATTGACTTGCGTATTGCTTCCGCTAGCCCTCGATTTTTGAAGCCCTTTCGACAGCCACTGTCTGCTTTTCTTCACAGCAAACGCACACCGAAATCTCTCATCCCCATTTCACGCTGGCATTGGGCAGTATCACGAATTTGCCACTTAAATGATACACTTTCTTGCTCAAACGCGGCCACCTCCAAGACTGTGGGCTCCAGCATTGTCAAAGGGGATGCCGCTTT